TTTGTCCCTGCAGTTGTTTCTAAGAGTACTTATGTTCTTTTCCCTTTTCTTCTTATTTCAAGGTCGCAGCATCTTCAATATTTATTTGAACACATTACATACAAAATTTAATAAAAAATTTCTACTCTCTGAACTGTTTCATGATTCTTCAAACTTCTTTTGTCATCGTTTCTTTTCTTTTTTTTTTTTTTTTGTCATCGGTTTTTTAATGCTCTCTCTTCCACCTTTATGAGACTCTTTTTTTGCCTTCGTATTTCTGGGGTCCTTGGTTTTCTGTTGATATTTCAGTTGGGGTATTAAGAAGTTGCTTGAATGCTCTTCTTCTACAGCCTAGGCTTATTTACTGGTTCTCTGCGATGTAAGGTGATCAGCATAGACCATTATGCTCAATACCTCTAGAATTTCTTCTACCAAAAGGAATGCTTTACTTTCCTGTCTGGGAGATATGGTCTGGCTACCACTGTTCTCAGATTCAAGGAGGGAAGGAGTCTCTTTCAGAATGTAAATTTTTCACTTAATCTCACTGTTTTCAACACAAGACTCTCCATCTTCTTTGGTACAGACTCATCAGGGATTAAACCTTTGGTTTTAACCACTCTAGAAGATATTATGTGATCTGGGTCCTAGGGATGGAAACGTAAAGTATACTATAACCCTTATAGCAGAAACATGCCTATCCACATTAGTACAAGGTATTTTTAAGCAGAATTGCAATTGACTCAATCTCCAAATTGGGGATGTAATGTCCTTGAATGGCTCAGCACAGCAATTGCAAGTTCATATAGAACAACATACAAGAAAGTTGCAAAATTAATATAAAATAATATCAGGAAATTTTAGAGTTATATAATTCAATGAACATCAAGTCACAAAAATATAAAATTCTTTACAAATTATCCTAAATTCCTCATAATGCCTCCCAATTCTATTTTATGATCTCTGTGTTCCTACATCATCCTGCAATCCTACTCACTTCCCATAATCTCACTGGTTTTAGAGCTCCACATTTCATTCCTTCCTGCTAAGTCCTTTGGTGTCCCTCCTAGATATTGCTTTTCCTTAATCCCCAGGCAATGCCAGATCTCCCTTTCTCTTATAACTTCCATCTTAATGAGGACATGTTTCTTCATTCTCTGTCAGTATCATATTTATTAATATGCTTAAAAAAGAAAAATCTAAGAGTACGCCCAGAAACAGAGGACAGAAATCCCTTTCAATTTCAAGACAGAATAATATTTAACCTAGATTCACTGTAGTTTCCCTTTCTGGTTTTATGATAATCTAAAATTCCCTTTCCTTGGAAATCTTTAAGCAGAGAAGAGGGCCAAACTTTAACTTATCTCTCCTCCTGAAATCTCTACACTAGAGCCGGTATCTGATCCAATTAATGGTCCAGAGTATATAAGGTAGGTAACTGCCAATCTACACCATGGCTTCTGGTATTCATTGAGGCCATTTGAAGTGCCCACTTAAGAAAGACCTTAGTTCAAATCCTGTGTAGATAAAAAGAACTTATAAATGTATTGAAGAGGATGGATTGTGAAAGAAAATAAAGTCTCTCTCTCTCTCTCTCTGTCTCTCTCTCTCTCTCTCTCTCTCACACACACACACACACACACACACACACACACACCTTCTACCTTTGGCAGTTAAAAATCATGACTAAATGCTTCTTAGTAGCTCCCAGTTGCTATGAGGGTGTGAAGAAAGATAGCTGATCTCTAAGGTAACAAGGGACCAAGTCAAATAAAGCCTATAGATTAAAGTCAACACTTTTACATTAAAGTGAAAATGGTATCCTGCACTGGCTCTGAAGTATAGGTGTCTTGTAATCTCTATGACCAACAGCCTTAACCAAACAGGTTGCATTTAGAGCATCGTAGTTCAAAACTTCCAGCCAAACTCTCAGTTTGTTCTCCTGCTAAATCTTTGCTTAGAATTATATGAGTAAATGTTTGAAATTCAAGAGAATTTGAGACATAAAAGACAAGGAGTTTTTAAGAAAGAGACTTCTGTTTGTACTTGGGCTGGTGGAGGAAGGCCAGGAGTTGGGGTCATGCCTTTCCCTGATGTGTCTTTTTTATATTTTATTTTATTTTATTTTAGAGAGAGAGAGAATGAGTGAAAGAAGGAAAGAGGGAGGGGGAGAGAGAGGGAGAATGAAAGAATAAGAAAGAGATAATCCCAAGAAGGCTCCATGCGTAGTCTGGAGCCTGACATGGGGCTTGATCTCAAGACCCTGAGATCATGACCTGAGTGGAAATCAGGAGTCAGATGCTTAATCAACTGAGCCCCCCAGGTATTCCCCTGATATATCTTTAAATAGAACTAAGGCCCTGATGTTGAATATTTCAGATGTTATGGTCTGTGGTGGTTTCCTTTCATCAACATGTTTCTGACTATACAGGGTACAAATACAAATAATATATGATTCTGCACACATATATATTTCCTTCTTTCTCTCTCGCCATCTCATTCATTCTTTCCATCTTTTCAATTTACCTGAAAATCAGAAGACTTATGAGTCCTTAGCTGTTATCACTTGACAACTGTGAGAATCAGAAGAATCACCGAACCTCTGTGAGCCTAATTCCCACTCTGTAAAATGGGAATAATCACCATACTATTTTAACATCAGGGTTGAGGATCAAATATGACATTCATGAAAGCATCATACACTAAAAAGTGTTATTAATATTCTTCAGAGTTTGAAGAAAAGAAGGATTTATAGGCATGTGAATGGCAAAGGTACCAACCTAGCATCACTAAGGAAGAGATGTCTATGTTTAAGCTCATTTTTTAAAGTACAAATTTTAGATTGGATTCTCTTCTAATTTTGACAGAACTTGGAAAATGTCAGACCCAGTGATATTTAATACCAACCAAATTTGGTAATGTTATGATAGCAAATAGTATGAAGATGCATTTTAATTACTAATTCTTTCCTTTAATTCGTCAAAAAGAATATTAATTATAACAGCCAATGTTTCCTGGGTGTGTACTATATTCTAGGCAGTGTTCTTTTTTTTTAAAGATTTTATTTATTTATTTATTTATTTATTTATTTATTCATTCATTCATTCATTCATTCATTCATGAGGGACACAGAGAGAGTGGCAGAGACACAGGCAGAGGGAGAAGCAGGCTCCCTGAGGGGAGCCCAATGTAGGACTCAATCTCAGGACCCAATAATCATGCCCTGAGCCAAAGGCAGATGCTCGCTCAACCACTGACCCACCCATGTACCCCTGTAGGCAATGTTCTAAGCAACTTATGTGTATCATCTCATTAGACCATTATAATAGTCTGAAGAGGTACTGTTTCCATTATAATAGCCCTAAGAGGTACTGTTTCCACTTTACTGATGAAGAAACTGAAGCACAAAAAAGCAAGTATTCACCTGATGGAGAAGCAACAGTGTCAGGGTTGGGACCCAGACATCAGCCCGGAGTCTGGATTCATAACAGGTAGACTATATGACTTCCTAATTTAATGGGGCACTATCTACTGAGCGAATCGTTCATCAGTGGAAGTTGGGACGAAAAGACGCTAAGACACAAACTATCTTCCCCACCAGTGGAGAAAGGGAGGCTGTCTCTTATAACACCACTGAAAGATTGTCACCCAGCCTCTGTCAAGCTGACATGTTCAAAACTCAGCTGGTCAGCCTGAGCCAGCTCTGAGTGGTATCAAAACAAGGTGAAGGAGGTTTCCTGGCAACTAGAGCCGCAACCTTGGCCTAACAGCCTGGGTCCTCAATTTTTCTTTCCTCAATTCCCTCAGACATGTCTTTCTTCCTTTTGCCAGATCTCTTCCTCTTGCCTTCCACGAGATAGATAAAAAGCACTGAAGCTTGTTTTCTGAGGCCAGAGATAAGTTACCTTTAAAATTTGATATTCTATTGTCTGTTAGAATTTCCCCCCACCCTTTCTTAAATAAATATAGGTTGCTCATTTTTAAAAAGTAAAAGAAAATTCCATTCCCTTCTATTTGTTTATCATTTTGGAAAAGGTTGGGCATACCCTTTGAGAAAAACTGTTTTGGGACACTCGGGTCAAAGATCCCTATCCTAAGTTCTACTTTCAGATGGGGTCCTGGGACCCCTCTTCCCCGGCTTCCCTGCAGCAGCGGCAGGTGAGTGACAATGGAGTCAAGCATCAAGGACAAAAGAGGCACCTTATTCCTGATGCTGTTTTTCTCCCAGGTAAAATGAGAAATCAAATCCTCTCCTCTCCCTGCAGCACTGTCCTCTCTGAACATGACATTAACTTCCACAAACGAGCCTGGTGGTAAAGGGGTGATTAGCTAGATAGGCCTTAACAGCTGGGCTCCAGGAGATGGAAGCGAGGTGGAGGAGGGGCATTATCAGGCTCGGGCCTTGTAGTTCTATCAACAGCGGCAGCAGCAGCAGATGAAAAGCTTCTAGAGGTGGGGGCAGGGGAGAGCCCAGATTGTAAACATCTCTTGCCTGTTGCCTAGAAGCAGTGGCAGCAAACAATCCAAAGACTGCTCCTAGGTTTTCAAAATTTCCTTTATACGCAGGGCTCTGTTTCTTTTTAAAATGTGCGGCCATTTTATAAGGTCATAAGCACACATGCGACGTGCGCATATATCCTAATAATTTCCTAGTCACCATATGTAATTGCTTACCTAAAGTGCTCAATTATTGTTTAACAAAACCTTGTTAACGTTAGTCCATTAATCCCGGGGCTTTTGTAAGCCTTTTAATGACTACTCTATATTTAGGCACTCATATTTGTAAGAATCAACAGAAAGCACAAGATAGGCGGCTTTGTTTATTGGGAAATTCGGTAATTCCTGAATGAGAGTTTTCTGAAAGAAGCCGGAATGAAGGACAGGAGTTCTGTATTAGAAATCAGTTTAAAATGTGATAACAGTAATATTATAGGCTGTCTCTGCAGAAATGAACTATGAAATACCACACACACATACAGCGAGAAAAGGGCAAGGTAGTAATAGTGGGAGATTTTAATTACCTTACGCATAGGACAGGATTACATCAAGTGGAGGAAGTAGGGCTGGATCTGGTGCAAAACTGCTTTCTAATTCAATGTGTGCGTCAACCTGAAAAGGGAGAAAGGAGTGCCAGGTTAGGATTAAATAACATTTGGGACTCAAAGAAAAGAGAGAATATGGAAAGCAGTGATTAAATCTCATTAAGCGTATGATTTAATCCCAAATAGGAGCTAGCGGTGTTTAGAGACAACACGAAAATTTAGGAAGACAGAAAATAAAATACAGCATATAATCATTAATTCAAAAAGAGACAAGCCACTGAATTAAGGTCAGGGTAAATTGCAAGGAAGTGGTTTTTAAAAACACAGCATCACCCAGAATGCCAGTCCCACTAATAAGTGGTAAAGTTGTTTAGCATTTTATAAGATCAAAGTGAGAAAGTAATGTCTCTAGAATGATGCAGCAAAGAAAAGGTTCCCCCTCCCTTTTTCAAGACCCAAAATTGTTAAAGGAATAGAAAATCAAATCCTCTATACTTTGGAAGAGAACTCTAAAAGGACCCAGGGGAGAAAAAGAGGCAAAGAAATTACCAAATCAGAGGACAAACCTCTTTTATGACATTAAAAGCACACAACTCAGCAAGGCATCCATTGGGCCATTAAGGGGATGAGTGGGAAGTCAGTGACAGATGAGGCCGCCGTTGCTGAGAGCCTGAATGAATTCTCTGCCTGCGTATTTACGAAAGAAGCTGAAGGTCACGTCCCGGAAACCGGGATACATTTTCTTGAGGGGAAAAGTGAAATGTTAAAAGGATTTTATGATCACACAAGAGCAGATAGTTGGGCAATTATAACTATTAAAAGTTGACAGGGCACAAGACCCAGATTAAGTATGTCACAGAAATCTGAAAGAAGTGCAAAGGAAACAGGAAGTGCCTTCAGCTTCATTTCTTGAGAGCGTGCTCAGAAGGAGAGGGAACAATCAGTCGAGCCGGGGACTCTTCTAGAATTAGGTGTTCAAGAGAAATCTTCAGGATTTTTAGAAATCTGGCCACCGACAACTGAGTCACGGTTGCAAAGTGGATGGTGCTGACCCCTGTTTTGCAATCTAGGGAGATACATAATCTAGTAAAGAGTTAATATGAGCTTGGTCACAAATAAAGGCATTTTTCACAGAAATAGGGCATTTGTGCACCATTCCACACAGGCAAAAAGGGATGTAAGCACTGCTTCTAAATTTCGGAGGTTACTTATGATAGTGAGCTTCATCTGTAATCTAGCTGCATTAAGTGAGGTGGTATAAGAGTAAATGAGAACAAATCAGAACTACCCTTAGACCCAAGAGGAATGTGTGTATATGATATGGAAAGGAAGGATTGTGGGAACTACTATCATTACTACTTTCCTCATCACTGTCATCATCAAGGTGACTATTAAGCTCATACTTGCATAGACACTTCAGCAAGGGAACAGGCTGGTTGGTGGGAGTGTCTTTCTCTCCCTGTTGCAGGGTCTGGACTTCACACTGATTCATCTCGTCCTTTTCCGTCATTATGTTACCAATCATCATGTCACCATATTACTTTTAAAGGCCAAAATAAAAATGTTCCACTTCTGAGGCTGTGCTTAAAGTAGACAATTCCATCCACCAGCCTCTGGCTGTGTTTTGAGAACCAATAAAAATAGTCACAGCCCTGTGGAGTTAAAATCTGAAGGAAAAATGGCATTACTTAAAGTTCATTAATCACTTAAAAACTGTTTTCTTCTCCTTTCATCCTTCCTTCCTCCTTTCTTTTCTTCCTCCTTTCCTATGTTCCTTCTTACCTCCAAATATTTGTTACATTTCATAGACCAGACTGTAAGATTTAACACTAAGACATGCAAACATGTATTATTGCTCTCGAATAATTCCCAGTGTTGTGGCAATATCAACAGTGTGATGGCAGCTAAAATAACACAAAGCCCAGAGTATCCAGAACCTTTTAAGGAAGTATGTAAAACAGCCCCAGGCTAGTCAAGGAGAGGGTGGGGTGGAGAAGGAAGCTATAGGTGTTAACCAAGTGGAGGAGAAGTGAGAAAGGATATTGTAAAAAGAGTGTATTTACAAAAGCTTGGAGGAGAAATAGCACAATGAACTACAAAATAACTTGACTTGATTATTCCCTCATGTCTATTTTTATATTTCTTTTCTACCAAACTCTACCCCATCAACTACCTTTATTATTGAATTTAAGGTTTGTTTGTTTTTTTAAAGGTTTATTTATTTGAGAGAGAGAGAGAGAGAGCACAAGCAGGGGGAACAGCAGAGGGAGAGGGAGAAGCAGGCTCCCCGCTGAGCAGGGAGCCCAACGAGAGTCTCAGTCCCAGGACCCTGGGATCAGGGCCTGTGCCAAAGGCAGATGCTTAACCAATGGACTAAGCCACCAGGCTCCCCTGAATTTAAGTTCTTATATCTTCTTAGAAAGAAAAGAACAAAAGCAGAAAGGAGAACAAAGTGAGAGCTGAGTGATTTAGAAAAAAGATATAATAAAAGTGCTCATAAATTTCAGAAATATATGTACTTTTACTTAAACTTTTAATTATTGACCTAGAAGGGCATAATATTAAAGTGAAATTTCTGTGGCCAAGAAAGAGAGAGAGAGAGAGAGAAGAGAAGAGAAGAGAAGAGAAGAGAAGAGAAGAGAAGAGAAGAGAAGGTAGGAACATTGACAGGATTGAAAGCATCAGGGTCTCTGGACCTAAAGGAGAAAGAATAGTTCATGCAAGAAGGAATAGTTCATGCAAGAAAGAGGACAATCAATGCTGGGGCTAGCTATCATAACTTTGAATAAAAGAGTGTACAGTAGAAAAGTAGTATGGACCAGAGTCACCATGGGGGCCATCGTAGGAAGGTCAACATGAAAATAATGCTACCTATTTTTTCTTACCAAACCATTCCAACAGACTCGAGAGTAGAATTCAAAGTTTCATTTATGTACAACACTCAATGCTCATCACAAGTGCTCTCCTTAATCCCCACTACCCATTTAACCCATCCCCACCCACTTCCCCTCCAGCAACATTCAGTTTGTTCTCTGTAGTTAAGAGTCTGTTTCTTGGTTTGTCTGTTTTTCTCTCTCCTATATAATTTGTTGTTTTGTTTTGTTTTGTTTTCTATTCCACGTATGAGCGAAATCATATGCCAAACCATCCCACTGGAAACTAGTGAAATCATTCTTGCAGAAGTACTGAACATCATTCCCTTCTACTTCTAAAGCTCTGTGAGACTGGAGACCTGAATACATGCCCATTGTTCCTCATCCAGAGCCCTGCCAGGAAGTTGGTTTAGCACTGATCAGCTTTAACTTTTTCTTTATTTTTTTATAGATTTTATTTATTTCTTTTGAGAGAAAGTATGAGCAGAGGAAGAGGCAGAGGAAGAGGGAGAGAATCTCAAGCAGACTGGACGCTGAGTGTGGAGCCCAATGTGGGGTTCTATCCCACAATACTGAGATCATAACCTGAGCTGAAATGAGGAGTCAGAAGCTCGGGATGCCTGGGTGATGTAGTGGTTGAGCATCTGCCTTTTGGCTCAGCTCATGATCCGGGGGTCCTGGGATCAAGTCCCACAGTGGGTTCCCCACAGGGAGCCTGATTCTCCCTCTCCCTCTGCCTATGTCTCTATCTCTCTCTGTATGTTTCTCATGAATAAATAAATAAAATCTTTAAAAAAAAAAAGAGTCAGAAGCTCAATGACTGAGCCACCTAGACACCTCAGCTTTAACTTTCTTACCATCTTCATCTGAATGTATAGTGGAGTCACTGTGCTTAGTGACATTCTTCAATGTTAGTATCAACAAGGAGGATTCTCAGAAAATGGGAAATTTTTGGTAGTCCTAAGTCTCCTTCTTTCTGTTCCATATCTTTAATAGGTCTCTGGTTTCCCTCAAACAATGTATCAAGCCCTGCATTTTGGAGAAACACCTCTAATCATTTCTCTATAGCACATGATGTGCCAACTCTACCTGGGTTATTTCCCATTAAGTGAGTCATCACTAATTGTAGAAGACAAATCTTTATCCCTAAATAAGAGGAATTTAAAAGCAAACTGAGCAAGATGACAGAAATTTGTCCTAGAATGAGGTGAGACTGGGGAGGGGCTGCTTTGGGACTTATCAGTGGCCCTGTAAATATGACATTAAAAATATTGAACATCCAGTATCACACTGCTATAATGCTGGAGTCCTGCACAAATTGGCCAATGTTTATGTTTTAGTTGCTAGATCATAGAGTATTCATGTTTATAAATCAAAATACATGAAAGCAACTTATTTTATCTACCTGATTCAGAAAGTAGGGTCCCTACTGAAAAGAAGAATAATGTTTGCATGCCACCTGTTATTTCTCTGCTTATTTGATTTCAGACCAGAAGTGGGTTATACCAAATAATTCTAAATTTTTAGAAATCATATGTACTAAATGATTAATTAATTGACCATTTGCAAATAAAAATAGGGGCTATGAGTCACTTTAATTCTCAGACAAATAATCAAGGAACAAAAATATCAATTGATCAATATATATATATATATATATATATATATATATGATTAAGAACACGGAGCTGATTTCAGCAAATTGGAGCTCAGGTCAAGGACTACCTTTGACTTGCTTTCTGACCTTTGGCAAATCGATTAAAATTTATCTTTACTCACATGCCACATCTTTAAAAATGAAGACTGTTATTTTTAAATCTCCCTATCCATCCAAACAATTGCTGAAATTTAAGAGATGAACCTTAAAAAATAACTGCAATAAATACCGTATGATGAGCATTACTTTAAAGTAAGACTATGATACATAGCAGAACTCTATAAATATTTGGGGAAAAAAGGAACATTTCTGGAAACAATACTTAGATAAACTAAGAGAGAGTCTCTCCTGGAAGGAATGGAAGCCTAAAGCCAAAATACTAGAGTGAAAATGTTCGAGATATTGACACACACCTAGGCATGGTTTCTGAAAGAAAAGTTTTCATTATGAGGGAAAACATTTCCCTATTGTCAACATCTCCTTCATGTTTCTCCCTTGTTTGCAGCTCTGGATGCATCACTCACTGCTGATGCTAAG